TTTTGCATATAAAATGGTTTCTTGAATGTATAACGAGTATACTGTTAATATCTTTAAATGCCTAAAACTATCTCTGCATGATTCAATTGGTTTTAAACCTGCTGTGTACCTTACTGACCTTTTTTGAAGAGTAAAAATTCGTTGAGTGAGTACTTTAGCACTCTGTCCCCATACGACGATTCCGTAAGACAAAAAGGGATAAATCAAACCACAATACAACATTCTTCTTTCATTTAGATTAAGTATTTTAGAGAGTCTATTAATTATAAATAGGTTACGGTTAAGTCTACTACACATTCTTTCAATATGTACTTCACAACTCAGGGTGCAATCAATCACAACTCCCAGGAAGTTAGTACTTTTTACTTTAACTATTTCCCTGTTCTTTATTAAAATTTTTTGATTACTTTCCTCCCTACGTTGTTTTGTCCGGAAAAAAATGTAATGTGTTTTAGTTGGGTTTATAAATAAATTATTTATCTCAAAATACTGCTCTACCAAGTCTGTATTGTCTAAGGTTACCTTTTGGAGTTCATTCATATCCCGACCCATATTCAATATTGATGTGTCATCAGCGTACATTAATGTTCTGCCTTGTGTTAGATGTGGAATATCATTTACATATAAAATAATAACTAATAATGAAACAAAGTAGTAATAATTTCACTTCAGAAAGAAGAACACAATTATTATATAAGAATTTAAGTAAATGCAACATGATTTAAGGCCACAATTAGGACATGTAATTTATATGTTATTAGTACTTTGCCAACACTGTAATTTTTAACAGCTTAAAATTTCTATAACTGCACTTAACAACATTGAGAAAAGTGCACCAACGTTTGTGAAATAAATTATATAAGAGAACCTGATTATAACCAAATAGCATGTAAAAAAAATATGGACTGTGGTGTAATAATTTAATAAATGCCACTTCTTCTCTTCTTCTTCTATGGCTCTCTGGTCCGTATTCGGTCCATGGCCTCCTCAATTCTCCTCTTCCATTTGGTCCTATCCTATGCTGCCATCTTCCAATTTCTAATCCTCAGGAGCAGTGTGGCATCCATTTGAACTGCATCCTCCCATCTATTCCTGGGTCTTCCAACTGGTCTTCTTCCTCCAACACTTCATTTGAATACCATCTTTGGAATTCGGATGTCATCCATCTGAATCAGGTAACCTGCCCAATGTATTCTCTTGATTGTTATAAATTTTGACAAATAAATGCCACTAGTTTGATTATTTTTTTGTGATGGCTTAAATTGTATTTGTACAAATACCAGTTTTATCACTTAACTGCACAAGAAGGAAGAACAGATTTTTTTATTTTCCACAGAGTTCAGGTTCCAAAACAGAGAATACAAGACACATGTCTTTTATGTTATTTATCATTGTGTGGAAAATGGTGATTGGTATGTACCAAACAGATTACTTTATGCATTAAACCTTAAGTAATTTCCTAGCGACAGACCAGTGATGGACATACATCCCTTCATTCTGTTGGACAGACAAAACAGAGAGAAACAGAACACACCTTTGTATATATCAAACCTCACGGCAAATTACAAAATAACATGAAATGTTGTGACTAATTTATTTTAACACTGACCATCACATGGTCTGGTTATCTGAGTGAAGTTCCCGTCACAAATTTTGCAGCTCCATTTGAGTTTAGCTGGAGCTATGGCACTAATTACATATGCAATGCAGTTTCTTCCATACCTGCCTGAATATGTTGGATATGAAGTTAGGAACAACTTCATAATTCTTCTCTTAGATTGGCAAGTTTGTTGTGAGTGGTGTGCAGCATTTCTACAAACATGAGCGGAATAAATAAAAATATCTGAGATTCGAAGATTAAAGTGGCCAACCAATTGCCACACCTTGGCCAGACAGCAGACCATAAAAGTAATGTGGCACACTGAATTACATTCATTGCCATTCTTTGCTTCTTCGGAAAGTTTCTTATTTAGCTCTACATTCTGAATCTTTGTTCTTCTCTTGTTTTGCTTCTTCACACTTCCTTTCTGATTCTTTCATTTACTCTTCATCTGCAGCCTTGGCAAGTTTCTTCTTGATTTTTTCAGATATTACTGCATCTTTCAACCCATCTCTTTTGTCTGTATTTTGGTGTATAACACCACACAAGAAAGGCACTCGTATATTCAGTACTCACAGCTCATGAGGCTCTGCTGTACACAGATGGTCTACCAGGGAAATTGCTACATGATCCTTCAGCTGGTAAACTTTAACTATTGAAGATGGCTGTCGTTTGGGTTGCTGTACTGTCTAGTCCAATAGAAACTTTTACCAGACTACATGGCGCAACAACCCAGAAGACAGCCATCTTCAGATTGATGGCCGTGAAAACCTTAATTCCTAAAATTGTTCTTTTATTTACCTTTAGAGTACAACATGCTTTTCTATCTGCTGAAAATGAAAAATTACAGTAACAATTTCTTTTGATTACCCTTATTTAACAGTGCCCCTTTCATTTTCAGAGCTCAGCCTGTTGATGGACATATTTAGAAACTCATTTCATTTCCATTGAAAATTCTAGAGCGTCACTCATAGCTTCTTCTAGTTTCTTCTCCTTTATATACTCTTTCACTTTATCAAACCACTTCCTAATGTTAAGTTCAGAAACACATAAACTGGAAGTAACTGGCTCACTGGTCTTTTTTGCTATCTCCAAGTGTTGCCTTTAGCAAGCCTGTAAAGAAAATATCACATCGAACTAAACCATTTACACATTCTCTCACTAACAGACAATTTTGGTTTTGTAAGGCAAATGCCATGATATAAGTGAAAAGGTACATGACCCACTCACCCCAATTATGGAGGCCTAAGCTAAAGTGATTTCTCACCCCCCCCCCCCACGTCACAGAGGCCTTCAGCCAAAGTGATTCTGCCCCTAATAATAATAATAATCCGTGGCGTAACAGCCGCCTGAGAGCCAAAGCCGACTAGCTTGACTGCTGGCCTCACGTTCACATGCCTAAGCAGAGGTGAACGATCATCCAACCAGATATAGGGTGACGTGTGGTCAGCACGACGAACCAGCAGACATTGTTAGTTTTCATGACCGGATTACGCTACTTATTGTAGCTCCCCAATTTCCAGACGATGCTGGGTTGGCACCGGTCCCATACACTGGTCGAAAATCTCATGAGAAATTTCTTTCCCCGAGACTCAAGTCAGAGGCCATTCCATATCACCGGGCCGAACGATGATGCCTCAGACAGCGCGGGACGATTCTGCCCCTTCTGGGTTTAAGTTCCAGAAAGCCATCAAACAAAAATCCTTTTCATAAAGGACAAGTTGTCTGATGGGATAACCTTTCGTGCGCAGCAACAGACCCTAGTTTGAATAGTCAAGGCTTCCGTCACGACAAAATCCCCGTTAGCCTAAGCACACCCCCGTTATAGTTGTAGGGCACTGTTTATCATTTCCAGCATTGCATATCGTTCGCAGGAATGGTGTTACCTACCAAGGGACGATGTCTCGCGCTTGCGCCCTTAGTTGGTTTCTTGGTTGGCGCATCTTACTCATCGCCCTGATTATGGAAACCGCAAGGACCTCCTGGAATGGAATCCCACGAAGTCCGCGAGCAAGCTCGTTGCCCAGATGAAAAGACGGATTCTTATGCTGGTGCCCGGAATTGACGACGGCTTCGAGGCTGCTATCGCCGCCATTCGTTCTCTCGATGAGAGCTAGGGCTATCTGAGGATCGACGAGTGCGCTTGTTGTTGAAGAACTTTGACAAACGCCTACCCGAAGCCGAAATTCGGGAGGAGGTGGAGACCTTGCACATGAATGTACAGGCTGCCATGCAACATACGCGGAATAGATGGTAAGTCCCCAGACTCCACATTATATTTTGTCGGTGGCGTAATGCCTTGATGTGAAGAAGTTGAGTGCTCACACCGTACTCCGAAGCCTGCGAGTAAACGTGGAGATGTACAACGCTCCAGATGCGTCGCTACAGTGCTGACGTTGAAAGCAGTTCGGATACACCCAGCGTAAATACCTCTATGCACCCAGGTATGTCCTTGCGGGGACGCTCACTCGTCTAGCAACTTTTACTTCAAAGCAGACATATTCTACAGCTGCAGAGATAACCACACTGCATGCTGTCGTGGTTGCAATAAGTCCTGAGGTGACTGTGGTAGATTTTCAATCATCCCGTTCCAGGAAGACTGATTGAACACGCCGTCTTCTATCCACGACCTCCTTCCCATTGAGGGAAGGTCGCTCCCGAGATGTCCGCTAAAGCCGTCATTTGTCCATAACTGAATGTGGCCGTGCGATCTAGGACAGACGAGGGAACAGTCTTGTGGATAGTTTATTGAACGCCGATAATGTTGGGGGAAGAAAGTAGAAACTGATTTAGTTGGTCAGTGACCACGGTGTTGACATTTCCCTTCTGAACTAATCGAAACTTGAATTGGATCGGGCCCTAGTGTTCGCGAATCGTGTTTGCCACCGGTCGCACCGTCCGACCCGAGGAAGAGGCAAAGCGATAATCTTGTCCGCAGGGGCATAGATCATTATGTTGGGCCAGTGTCATATCTGCAGTATCTGGAGGATATGTGTGTGTGTGTGGCTATGTTTTCGCCCTAGATACTAGTACAAAAGCAACAAGTACAAGAAATTACGTTTGTAAACGTGCTGATATAATCTGTGCTATTTGAAATTTAACCGAAATTGTGATGCTTGCAAATAATCACTTTTAAATTTTGCGGTAAAATGCAGATGTACAGGTTTTTCTTATAAACAGCCGTTGCATGCGTACGCTTTTTTTTAATTCCTGATACATTCAGATTTATTTTTCTCTGAAAATAAATTGAACTTGGGAACAACCTGAAACATAATGAAACAGTTAACTCAAATTTTAAATAATTAAAATATATTCTTTACGTGATACGTATTTGAATAGGGAATTATCTCGCACTTCTGTGCAATGAACTATATAGTACATACCAAAGTGTAGTGTATTTCAGAGGTCGAGTCAGTTTGTGTAGGTAGTGTATTTCAACTGGCAGTGACCCAGCTAGAAGATGGCTGTCATAAGGGGAGCAAAGTTTAATGGAACAGTTCCTACACTGTCACTTAATAGTCCAACAAGGTCTTGTGCAACTGAAGATTTCGACCCACTACATGATGAACTCCATAACATCCAGAGCATGATTCGTCTCACAAGGGAGAACATCGATGCTTTAATAGAGAAGTTTGCAGCGTTCCAACATCCGCCAGCCATTTACCTCACCGAATATCAGGAGCTTACAAGTAAACTTCACGAGTTTGAAGTGAAAGAGCAGGAGCTAATTGAATTAATCAGTAATGGACGCGAAAGCCCGCAAGACCCATGTGAACGCCATTCTCATGATCAAAGCAGTGGGGGTGACATCTCACCACAGCTGGTTCCTAGGTCGCCGCTGAAGTCTTTAGTGCGAGCACATCTCCCAAATAAACAACTGACTAGTGTTCAAGTAAGGCCAGGTCAGACTGTAAGAGAAGCTTTGTCAAAAGCTATGAAATTCCGCAAGCTTACTCCTGAGATGTGTGTGGTGTATAAAGGTCAAAGTAAGGTTATAATTCCTTGGGAAGCTGATATGTCATCTCTTGAAGGTGAGGAAATAAGTGTTGAAATATTGAACAAGTTTTTAATTACAACAAGTATTTCTCATAATTTCGTACGTAAGACGTTTTTTACTCTTGCATTCTGTGAGTGTTGTAGTCGACTTCTTTTTCAAGGGTTCTATTGTCGAACCTGTGGTTATCGCTTTCATCAACGATGTGCAACAGGTGTACCAACTCTCTGCCAGCAAATACAAAATGATACATATTTTGAGATATTACTATCACAAAAACCAGTGACATCTGCTGGTATCCTACAGACCCCAGAGTTTGTAACAGGAAGGTCAGCATCACCTTCACATCCCCATTCTGTAGTACGAAGACATCCTCCGACATTGGGTACGAGGGAAAGGTCAAGTTCAGCTCCAAATGTATGCTTGAATCTAGTCGCTCAGGTTGCTCAAGCAGCATCATTAGAGATGTTTGTTGGTCACATTGCAAAGTCTGGCCCAGCTCCACCAGGCTCTGGGGGAGGGGAGCTTGCATTGTGTAGTCCAGGCAGCAGCCCTACTAAGCCGTCCCACAGTCAGAGTGCACAAGCATCCCCGACCAATACATTGAGACTTTGGCGTCCACGTGCCCGCAGTGCAGATGAAAGTAGTAACAAAGTTCGCACACCTCGGGAATCAATAGAAGACTGGGAAATTCCGGCTGATGAAATTCTCATTGGTCCCAGAATTGGTTCAGGTTCCTTTGGAACTGTGTACAAAGGTCATTGGCATGGGCCAGTGGCTGTTAAAACTCTGAATGTTAAAGACCCAACTCCAGCTCAGTTACAAGCATTCAAAAATGAAGTGGCTGTCTTAAGGAAGACACGACATGTTAATATATTGTTGTTCATGGGTTGTGTAAGCAAACCACAGTTAGCAATAGTGACACAGTGGTGTGAGGGTTCAAGCCTGTATAAACATCTACATGTTATAGAGACAAAGTTTGAACTTTTAACATTGATAGAAATAGGAAGGCAAACAGCTCAAGGAATGGACTATCTCCATGCTAAGAACATAATACATAGAGATTTAAAAAGCAACAATATCTTCCTTCATGATGATCTCACAGTAAAGATTGGAGATTTTGGACTGGCAACAGTGAAGACACGTTGGTCAGGATCACAGCAGTTCCAGCAGCCTACTGGCTCGATTTTGTGGATGGCACCAGAAGTTATTCGTATGCAGGAGGAAAGTCCTTACAGCTTTCAGTCAGATGTGTATGCATTTGGTGTGGTACTGTTTGAGTTGCTTGCAGGACAGTTACCATATGCCAGTATCAACAATAAGGACCAGATTCTCTTCATGGTGGGCAGGGGCTACCTGCGTCCAGATCTTAACATTCTGCGTTCAGACACACCGAAGGCACTTCGACGCCTATCAGAAGATTGTCTGAAGCTAAATCGTGATGAGCGCCCACTGTTCCGTCAGATTCTTGCATCACTTGAAAGTTCTCTGCGTTTACTTCCTAAGATTCATCGTTCGGCATCTGAGCCAACCTTAAATCGCACCCAGCTTCAGTCAGATGACTTTCTTTATGTATGTGCTTCACCCAAAACACCTATTAATTCACAGTATGGAGCTTTTCCTATCTTCTCAGTTGGTGGGATTATATAAATCATCTTAAAACATTATCTTCGGTCTACCGTGAGTGACTTAAGCCAGAGAAGGCGAACCTTCTTCAAGCCACATGCCAAATATTGAGGGAAAGTTTCTGCTGTAGTTTGCATGCCCATAACTTTTAGTAAGCTTAAAAATATTTCTAAGATCATGTAGTGTATATGAAATAAATTATTACTCACCAAGTGAGTAAGGATTATGCTGTTATATCTTAGCCACTGATGTTATATCAGATTCCTAATTGGACTTCTTTAGAATCATATGAGTAGCACTGTACTTACTAGACTTGACAAAATTCTTTGCAGAAAATATACTTTCACAAATATATGTAGGTGGAAAAATTATCAATGTGACTACTTTTCATAGTTCAAAGTGTTACTAGCAAAGCATTCCAGAAGTTTTTTCACTTTATCTTCATCATTAACATTTATTTCAGGTGCAGGGTATTCTGAATTATATTTTACTTGTCCAGTAGACTTTGTTTAAGAAACTTCATATCAAATTAAACTAGCCGAACTTCAATTAGCTCCATTCTAAAGTTGAATTAATTAAGCCAATCTGAGCTTCACGCTTTCCAGTTGTACAGCATCAGGATACTTTAAAAACTTCACTGTTTCCTTGACATGCTTGAAGTTTGGAAATCTTGAGGAAACCTTTCTTCTGCAATGGTTATGTTACTTTAAATCATGAATCTCTTGGTCCTCAAGAAGGTTGAGATTATTCAGATGCTTATTCAGTGAAGGAAAATACTTTAGTTTATAAATGTTCATGTCAAAGTGATACATTTTGAGCTTCATTTTAAATACACTAATGAGACACTGAACATGACAGTTTCACATTTAAGTCATTCAGATGAGCACAAAGTCTGTGAAGAACATTACAGTAGAAAGCTGTTGAGTATCATCTGATTATAGACAGTGTAGTATCCCCCCCCCTCTGAAAGTTTATTTCATTCTGACGCTCGAAAAATTTGTCACATTCATTCTTGCAATGAACTATGTCAGTGAACATGAGTACATCACCATGCACTGAATCATCCTCTTTCAAAAGCAATTACACTGTTTTTCATCAAACATACTTGAAGCACTGTAGTTAACCACAGTGATAATTTTCATATCTTCCAGCTGACTCAAACCATGAATAGTTCATAGGACTGCTTAATGAACAGTGCAGTGAAATGATACAATGGAATAACCAACATTTTATGAATAGCAGTAAAAATCCTGCTAGTTTGTCATTTGAGCTAGAAGTTCTATCAGCTGTAACACAAACTATTTTGATGCTATCTGTCATTTGAGACTCTCAAAATGTTTTTTTTTGTGACAGAACTACAGCATCTAGCCATCATTGTTAACCTTTTAAAACCAAAGCTTATCAAAATAACGTTTAATATATAAATTCTTACCTGAAGAAACAGTATCCATTACATGAATCAGTTGGTTAATGCTATTTATGGAAATAATTAACTCTTTCTTCAGAAAATCATATGAAACCCATAAATATACTGTGGGCAGATTACAGACTGATTGCTAAAGCAAGTGGTGTATATAGTTACCCCCCGCCCCCACACACACACAGTATTAAAGGGTTAACTTAAATTAGCCAATTTGAAGAATCTGTCTTCTCAATTGAAGTGCCATGTAATCTGATAAAAGTTAACCAGCATTTTGGACGTCCTTGCTGACTTCTGATGAAGGAGGCAGCAAAGACCTCTGAAACATTGGTATAAACTTATAAACTTCTACCAGACTACACAGCTGTACAATCCAGAATACAACTATCTTCACATTCAGTGCTGTGAGAACCTTAAACCCAATTATTCACAGACTTCACTACTTTCACAACTGAACTCTGAATGGCTAAATAAGTTAAGTATGTGATGTCTGTGCACATACAAGACAAATGTAAAAATAAGTACAAGAATGCAATCTGTTTTTAGTTGTTCATGGATGTTTTAGTTAATTTTGATTATACTACCCACTGTGTTTTGACTGCTGTTTAGGTATTTGGTATGTGGCAAAATATTTTCTGTAGTTTGGAAGTATTCAAAAAGTTTTGGTACAGGTGCTAGCCATGCTTGCTTTATAAATTCACCACTAAATTGGTTAACCATGTCTAGCAATAATTTTATGACCTTGGAATTTGTAACTACAATATTCAAAGAACTTACAACAAATTGGTTGTTTTTAACACATGTTATTTAACCCATTTTTGCTCTTGCTTACTTTTGGGGACGTATATTTGTTTAGTTTCATAAAGTTGCTTATCAGAGTTCTATAAACCACACTTTCAGAACATAGACTCCACAACGCTTTTCTGTTTTTGTCATTTACAAATATTTTTCCTTTCACCTGCTGTGAAATTATCTTCCTGTGAATTTTACTTATTTTTTGGTCTTCTTACTTTATAAAACATTTGCAGACCTCTGAAGTGAACACATATATCATCCTCAGAACAGAGACACTATTCTGTTGTAAATGTTGGACAATAACAAACTGTTGACTGTAACTTGTCTGAGTGAAATGACGGAAACAACACACACACAGGGAGCATCAGAGACAATCGAAAACAAATTGAGTTTGTGGTGCAGCGATGAGATTGGTGCCAAGCAGTTGATAACTTTTAATGTGTATGATCTGAATCTGTCATGGCAACTAAGTATAATAAGTCCTTGGGCTACCCGCCGTGTCAGATGACACAGCAGGTAGCCCAAGAAGAATTCATCAAGCTTTTAACCTGTTTGTGCAGTTCTGTATATATGAACATAATTCAATTCTTGCCCACAAGTATCTGTGTATAAATTAATGTTAGTTACTGTATTGTATGAAGATATTTCTTTGAATTAAAACTGTGCATGCAGGCACATGTGACATGTGCCAGTAGTTCACCCTCACTGGACTAAGCAGTGTGGCAGTATTGAGAGTAACTGAGTTGAAGCAGTTTGTACATAAAAAAGGAGGAAAGAATCTGAATTGTTTTATTTGAGATGACACTGTTGAAACTAATCATCAAAGTGTGGCGCTGTTATTAAAGATTGTTTTATAATTATTTATTACAGTTTTAGGAAATTTTCTTCAATTTATCTGTGTACAGAATGATTCATGTAATTCATTTATAGTTTACATGGCTTAAAAATTGTGTACTTAATAGAGATAATTTGCAACATGTAACAGGTTTGAGGGCGAAACATAAATGGAATACCACAACCAGGTACTGTTCTTACTGAAAGTAACTTGCCCAGCACTGCTTATTTTAACACTGAAAATTAATGTGTATAAACAACTTTCAAACTTCTGGTACTGTAATATTGAAATAAAATGTAGTATTTCAGGTGTACTTTGATTTGATCCTTGCTTTGTTTACTTTTGTTATGAGTTTTGAAGAAGTGTTCCTTTGATATTTAAGTTTAAACATATTGAACATTGTTTATGATATTGACTGTTCAATATATAACTGAAAACAGAATTGAAACTTATCTGTAGACACCATGTATGTACCCAAGCCTTCAGCTGTTGGGGCATGTTGAAACTATGACCAATTTAATGAGTTATATCTAATGATTTTTGGCCATAGTGTCAGTTGTTATTGTTAGTATTATAGCAGCCACCTCGCATTGACAGTCATGTGCATTATGACATCACAGGAAGCTGTGTATTATGATCCTACTATTACTGGTTTGCAGTTTGTTTAATGGTTTTTGGGTGCATACAGTCTGCATTAGGAGATTAGAAGTGTTAAACAGCAGAAAGTATGGGATCATTTACATGAATTTAAAACATAGAAAAACATGTATTGTCACTGTTATAATTGTACTGTATTCAGAAGAATTTAAACATAGAAAAGCATGTATTGTCACTGTTATAATCGTAATGTGTGTGACAAACACCTGTTATGCAGTACCTCAATAAAATATTGGTGCAATGTTGTTTTGCTGTGCTGCAAACAACACTTTGTTGTTAGAAGGCTCTTGTGAACATGGCAATGAACCATGAATTTTTTGACTAGCAAAGTACACTATCAGCTTGTCAAGAGGGGCTGTGCCCCATGGAGTTAGGTAATTGGTCCAATGGACACTTTTAGTTGTTTGTGTGTTTAAATCTGAACTTCAGTTGAATACTATTCAAAAAAATTCATTTTGCCTTCTGATTTTAACATATGCCTACAATGATGGTGGATATTATTTGTTTCATGACTTATTGAAACAACTTACTTCACAGCCAGAAATGCCAGCTGTACAGGACACGACTTTTCAGAAAACAGGTTCCCAGAGTAAGTGTATGTTCTTTCACATCTTCACATACTGGTAACATTGTCAATTATATTACCCATGTACTACTACTACTATTAACAGATACTGTTGCCTGACCAGCGGTTAGTGTATTTAAATGTGGACCAGATTGAATCCAGAAACTTTCAAATATCCTGAGACACTCCAAGTATTTAGTAACAACTGTTCAGTTAGGTCTTGATCGTCTCTTGGTCTCATGTAGTCACTGTCAACCTGTTGTGTGAAGTTGCTCATCAATTAAAGTATATTAATGTACAAATAAATGTGTAGTTTTTGTTTATTCTTTTCACAAAGTGCATAAAATTAATATATATAGTGGGAAGTTTGTCTGTCAATGTGATTAATCTCCAAAGCTTATGGATGGATTTTGTGAAATTTTATTTTTGAAGTCCACTGAAAGTTATCAAAATTTAATTTTTGTTCATATTGGTCTGATATGCTGGTCAAAGTGGCCATGCAGTCTGAGTCGTGGGCCTTGTTCGCTTGAACACTGGGACTGGGGGTTCAAATCCCACTCAAGACTTGATTGTTTGCATCTTTCTGTGTTGTGCTGTCCTGTGTACATGTAGAAGCCTTGCCATGGGCTGATAACATGTCGAAGGAGTCCTACCAAATGTCTAAATAGAAGAAGTAACCTCCCAAATGGGAGGAGGCTAACGCCTGCCAGAGAGCTGTAGAGACAAGATGGATGGATGGATGGACTGGTTTGATATAACCCTACATTACATGAAGCTCAAAACCAACTTTATGAGATTTTGTAAAATTTGCTCATTATTTTAAACAGGTAGTATATATTCAATTCTAAAGGATTTTGATGATGCTAGTTTACATTTATAATTATTCTTTGTCAGGACTTTTTCCATCGTCTGTTCTTTGTCCAGTGACAGAGACTAGCTCTATCTAAGGGACCCAACAGAGTAGGTACCTCTCACCTGAAGACAGAAACAGAACCAGCCTCCGAAACGTCGTGATTTTAAAGAACAGACGATGGAAAAAGTCCTGACAGAATAATTTTAGATGGTAGTATATATGTATGTCCCATTATGGTCTACTATTTCTTGATACAGTAAATATTTAATGAACTACAGTAAACATTTCTGACACCTGTAGGGTGGGGTTTGAATTTAGTGTCATGGTGATGTGGTTAGCATTTGTGCTTTTTTTTGAAGTGTGGGTCGATAGCTTTGCCCAGACTGGCTTTTTTGACAAATGCTTTTCATGTTTTTCTTCAGTTGCTCCCACATCCTTTCAGTTTATTAATCATTCTCATCTGACACTTTAACCTGAAGAAAGATTGTTAAATAAAGCGAGAATAAGGCAAAACCATGGGTTTATATATCAGCACTTAAAGATTGCCAAGGCCAGTGAGTATACAAGGTCTGCCACAAAAATAACGAGACTGATGCTGTAAGTAGGCAAACAATTATGGTGAGGGCGAAATAAGCAGACCATATTTGACCTTGATCTGTCCTCTTCCAGTGACGCAAGTTTCAACTTGTTCGCTTCACTCAGTAGCAGTGGACGAATGTTTTTGTACAGATCAGTAGCAGTGGACGAGTGATTTTGTTCAGACGTGTTTTTACCTTCGGCAGGAAAATGTCTGACTGCAAAAGTGAACAACGAGTTAACATCAAGTTTCTTGTTAAACTGAAGAAATCCGCGACGGAAATTTTTCAATTGTAGACTGAGGCTTACGGTGAAGATTGCATGTCTCGTGCACGCGTTTTTGAATGGCACAAACGATTTTCGGAAGGCAGAGAATGCGTGAAAGATGATGTTCGCCCAGGACGTCGATGCACAGCTGTTACCGATCACAAAATTGAAAAAAGTGCAAGATGTGATTCGAAAAGACCGAAGGTTGAGTGTTCGAACAGTAGCTGAGAAAGTCAATTTGGACAAGGAAAGTGTTCGACGAATTCTAAGGAAAGATTTGAACATGACAAAGGTTTGTGCAAAAATGGTTCCAAAAATTCTGTCAGATGATAAAAAAGAACGTCGCAAGGAGCATTACAAAGCATGTCTTTAGAAAATTTGTATTCTCCATTGGACTATACCTTTCCATTCTCTGTTTCCATTTGCCCTCCTTGTCTCAGTTTTGTAATTTTGTCTAGGAATGTGGTGGGGATGTGATGAGTCGCATTTCCTAGCACCCATGCATTGCTATTTTGGATGCCACAGCCTGAGTCTTTTGCACCTCTTTTTAGGTATTTATTGCACTCAAACATGAACAAAGAATGCCTTATGGGCCCATACATGTCTGTCTATCATATTTTCCCAAGGAAGTAGGCAACCCTCATGACCTGGGGTAATTATTGAATCAAATTGTTGCAACACTAAATTGAGGATAGTGTTTAAGCACATTGTTGCAGCAGTTAAGCAGGATAACTGGGCTGAATTGTTGTGACAGTGACTTTTGATACCATTGTTGCATTTGTCATTCCCCTAGCAGCCTTGCTGACAATAACACCCATATGTGGCATTTGTGTACCACAAAGAAGATGGCTTTCCAATTTTATGAAATATAGTGCAGGTTTGAAGTATAGACTGGGTTTAAAGTCATGATTATTCTGTAGCATTAGGGATGGCATAGGGTTAAATAATAGGCCCCAGTTAACAATCAGATGCTTTAAGTTTTATCTGCTTTCTCTAAAATAATCTGGTGTGGCAAGTGACTGCATGCATAGTAATTTTAAGCAGTGAGCATGTTAAGTGCCACTTTACATCTAAGTATGGTTACTGTGTGGGATTTCTATTTACTGCATGTTCACATTTCTTAAACCTCCAGTTAAATTTCCAAATCATTGCTTATTGTTCAATATGGAGTACTGTAATCTTGTACTGTTCAGTGTGTGATCACCATATAAGTGTCATCTGCAAGATTCAGTGTATAACAAAGACATTTATAGCAGTTCCACATTGATTAATTTCAGCAACTGAAAAAATACTTTACATTTCATGTATCTTCTCACTCTGACAATTCAAACCATATAAAAAATTCAGGAACCAGAGACTGTGCTCAAAATATAAGATGATGACCTTTTGGGAACACCTGGACTTGTGGGCTGAACAGTGTTACCCTCACACAGTGTTGCTAAAGGCTCCATTCTTTTCAGGGGAAATGTACTCCTTTTTGGTCTACATTAAGCTTAGCACTAGGTCTATGCAGATCACATTTGCTCCTAGTATTGATTTTATGTATATTAAAATTGGAATTAAAAGAACTACAATTATCAACAATGTATGCACAATTTGCTAGAATATATTCACATGCAAGAGGCAGTATATTATGCTTTTTAAATGTATATCTACATGATTCTGTTTTATGTAATCCTAACATTAAACTTATTACCCTCTTTTGTATAATAAACACCTTGCCACTGTCTTGTGAATTAACCCAGAATATTATACCATAGGACAAGATTGAATGAACGTATGCAAAATATACTGTTCTTGAAAGTTCATTATTTTTTATAAACATGAATGATATTTTTGCATAACATGCAGAATTAAACTTTGGTAAGGTCATTTCTATATGACTTCTAATTCAGATGATCATCGATTTGAAGGCAAAGAAATTAGTTGTTCTGTTTTCATCAATATTTTTATATTCATACTGAATATTAAGACTGTGTTTCTGATATTGGTTTTAAAATTTATAACGTTTATTTTGTCAAAATTTAGAGAAGGTTTTTTGGCTATAAACCATCTGTTCATAGTTGTAAAAGTTTTATTTGCTAATAATTGTAAATTATTTTCATTAATTTTGTTTGAAATAATATAATCAGAAAAAGTATAGGTGTAGAATCTGAGTTTATGTTAGGAGGAAAGTCAATAATATACAATAGAAAGATAAGTGGACCTAAAATGGACCCTTGTGGAGCACCTGCATTTTTCGGCAATCTGAATATTTAAAATTATATGAGCTGCTTCGTGATGTTGCATAGACCCTTTGTTTTCTGTTTGTGAGATATGACTCCAGCCATGAAAATACCTTGTTATTTATTTCATAAGATTTTATTTTATATAATAAAATCATATGGCTAACACAATCAAA